TTTTATTATTTTTGAATTCTACAAATTTTCCATTTTTCAATGTGACGGTTTCATAATTTTGCATTTCTCGATTTCCAAATTTTTCACGTTTTCGTTTCTTCAGTTTTTCGTTTTGCAATATTTTGATGTTACAATTTTTCATTTTTCGATGTTTCAATTTCTCGTTTCCTCAAATTTTCAGGTTCTTAATATTTGTTTTGCGCGAAATAAAAATCACCATTTAGTTACACGGTTTATTTAATCGCACAAAAATTATAAATTGCCGGTCTCTCGGGTCGGCACGTCTTTACCCTCTCGATACTTCTCGACGACTCTCCGAGAGAGTGAAATAATAAAAATTAGGTAAACTACCCTAAAACGGGTGGGAGTAGGGTGGACAAATTGGCTACGCCCAAACCCCTGTTCAGGTAAACTGAAAAACTGAACAATATTTATTCTTCATTTTTCCGATTTTTTAAATTTCATTTCCTCGATTTTATATTGCAATTTTTCGTTTTCTCATTTTCTTTATTTTTTCAATGTTTCTCTCGAATTTATAATTTATGTTTATCCATTTTTCAAATTTTCAATCTTTGACTGTTCAGTTCCTCACTTTTTAGATTTTTAAAAGTTTTCATTTTATACCTTTTCGTTTTTTCATTTTTAATTTTTCAAATTGACAATTTTGCAATTTTTCCGTTGAAAAAAGTTGAAAAATCGAAAACTAAAAAAAGCGGAAAAAATTAAAATCGAAAAACTGGCCCAAAAAAAGTCGAAATTTTCGTAACTGAATTTTTGAAAAAGTTACCTAAAATTTTTTAAAAAGCCTTATCTATCCCTGGTGATTGATAAAATATAGCTTGTTCACAGTCTTAGAGCAAAAATTTAGGAATATTCGATTTGAAAGTTAATTTTTGTAAAAAATTATAAAAATTGTTGTTTTCCATTGGGTAATTCTGGAAAAATGATACGAATTTTCAAAAAAATGTGGCCTAAAGTAACTTTTGGATGTCGAAATCTACAATAAAATCTCTTGGTATTTTGCAGAAGTGGTCAGAAAAAGGTCGAAATTTTCAAAATTTTTAGAAATTGAGCTTTTGAAAAAGTTGCCTAAAAAGTCTCAAAAAATTGTAAACTATGCATTTCAACGTGTTGATTCAAAAAATATAGCATGTTTATAGTTTCGGAGCAAGATTTTAGAAATATGGTTGGAAAGTCAATTTTTCTAAAATAGTCTAAAATTATCCGTTTTCCATTCGGCGATTCTGGAAAAATTATAACAGTTTTCGAAAAAATGTGACCAAAAGTAACTTCTAGAGGTCGAAATCTACAACAAAAACTTTTTAGGTATTTTGTGAAGGTGGTCAGAAAAAGGTCGAAATTTTCAAATTTTTTAAAAATTGTGCTTTTGAAAAAGAAAAAGTTGCCTAAAAATTTTCAAAAAACTCTAAGCTTTCGATTTAGATGTGCTAATTGAAAATATATAGCATGTTCAAAGTCTCGGAGCAAGATGTTAAGAATTTTCGATTTTGATTCAATTTTTGTAAAATATTCTAAATATATCGAGGAAATGTGGCAAAAATAACTTCTGGAGGTCGAAATCTACAACAAAATCTGGTTAGATATTTTGCGTCTGGACTTATTTACTTTTGACCAATTTTTTGGTGTCTTAATTTTTCAATTTTTTGTTGTTTCGGTTCGATTTTTCAATTTCTCGACTTTCAGTTTTTCGGTTTGCAATTTTTCGATATTACAGTTTTTCATTTCCCGATTTTTCAGTTTCTGTTTTAATTTTTTGATTTTTCAATTTTTCGTTCCCCAATTTTTCAAGTTCTTAATTTTTATTTTTCATTTTACCGATGTTTTTAATTTTCAATTTTTCGAGTTGATATCACATTTTTGGGTTTTTCATTTTGTAAAATACATACTTAAGTTTTTCATTTTTCAGTATTTCGGTTTCATAATTTTTCGTTCTTTCAATTTTAATTTGTTCAATTTTCCAATTTCTCGACTTACCAATTTCTCGACTTCACAATTTTTAAATTTTTCGTTTCCTTAATTTTTCAAGTTCTTGACTTTAATTTTTCATTTTTCCGATTTTTTTAATTTTCATTTTGTCGATTTTATATTACAATTTTTCGCTAATCAAATTTTTCAAATTTTCAGTCTTTGATTTTTCAATTCCACTTTTTCTAATTTTTAAATATGTCACTTTTGCAATTTTTTTTATATATTTCTTCTTCACATTTTGTACTTTTTCGATTTTTAAGTTTACCAATTTTTCTTTTTTCCGTTTTTCAATTTTTCGTTTCTTCAATTTTCAAGCACTTGATTTCCAGTTTTCATTTTACACATTTTTATTTTTCGATTTCTCAACCAAATTTTACACTTTTCGTTTCTTCAATTTTTCGTTTTGCAATTTTTTGCTGTTACAGTTTTTCATTTTTCGATTCTTCAATTTTTCAAGTTCTTAATATTTATTCCTCATTTTCCCTATTTTTTAACATTTATTTTCTCTATTTTATAGCGCAATTTTTTGTTTTTTAATTTCCTTTACCTTTCTAATATCTTTTTTTTAATTTCACAATTTTTCGATTGAAAAAAGTTGAAAAATCGAAAAACTGATCAAAAAAAGTCGAAATTTTCGTATCTTTCAATCATCAACTTTTTGAAAAATTGAATTTTTGAAAAAGTTGCCTAAAAATTCTCAAAAAGGACATATCTCAACGTCCTGATTCAAAAAATATTGCATGTTCACAGTCTTTCATTTCCCGATTTTTCAGTTTCCCTTAATTTTACTAGTCTTGATTTTCCGGGTTTTTTAATTCTCATTTTTTCAGGTTTACATCACAAATTTTGTTTTTTTCATGTTTCAGTATTTCGGTTTCATAATTTTTCGTTCTTCCAATTTTAACCTTTCACTTTTCCAATTTCTGGACAATTTTTCAATTTTTCGTTTTTTCAATTTTTCCAGTTCTACGTTTTCTGGATTTTATGGTACATTTTTCGTTAATTAAATTTTTCAAATTTTCAGTCTTTGATTTTTCAATTCCCCTGTTTTCTAGTTTTTCAATATTTCAATTTTGCAATTTTTGGATTTCCATTCGTCCAGTTTTCAGATTTCTTTGATTTCGCAAAAATAATTTTTTTTCATTTTGTACTTTTATTCGGTGTTTCGGTTTTATAATTTTTCGTTCTTTCAACTTTAATTTTTAACTTTTTCAATTTTTCAATTTCTCATTTTCCCGATTTCTTAATTTTCATTTTCTCGATTTTATAATACAACTTTCCCTTGATAAAATTTTTAAAATTTTCAGTCTTTGATTTTTCAATTCCATTATTTTCAATTTTTTAAATTTTTCAACTTTGCAATTTTGGATTTCTATTTATTTATTTATTTAACAGAGAAATTACAAAGTAAAGAAAAAAAAATCCTATGAGTACTCTATACAAATTAAACTAAATTTTAAAGTTAACCAATTTTCCGATTTTTTTTTTTTATTTTTCAATATTTCGATTTCACAATACATACATATTTCTTATTTCCACTTCGTACTTTTTCGATTTTTAAGTTTCTCAATTTTTCAATTTTTCGTTTCTTCAAAAACTTGAAAAATCAAGTTTTTGATTTCCAGTCAAAATTTTCACTTTTCGATTTTTCAATTTCTCGCTCTCCTCAGTTCTTCAAGTTCTTAATATTTATTTTTCATTTTCTCGATTTTATGTAGCAATTTTTCGTTCTTTCATTTCTTTTATCTTTTCAACGTTTTTTCGATTTTATAATTTTTCGTTTATTCATTTTTCAAAATTTCAATCTTTGACCGCTCAATTCCACACTTTTTCGATTTTTCAAATTTACAACATAGAAAAGTGGAAAAAAAATTAAAAATTGAAAAAGTGCCCCGAAAAAAATCGAAGTTTTTTTAAGGAGTATTGAACAATTGAATTTTTGAAAAAGTTGCCTAAACATTTTCAAAAAGCTAACCTAGTTTTGGGCCAAGTAATTTTTGGAGGTCGAAATCTGCAACAAAATATTTTGCGACGGTGCTCAGAAAATAGCCGAAATTTTCAAAATTTTGGAAAATTAAGCTTTTGAAAAAAATTGTCTAAAAATTTTCAAAATTATATTATATTATATGAGATTTCGAAGCGCAGATTCCACAAATATTCGATTTGAAATCCAATTTTTTTTAGATTCTAAACATTTTCAATTTACTCGAAAAATTATATGGATCTATTATATTATAAAGTACTGTACCCCAAGTTGACAAATGTCAATTATATCTTTCCTAAGCCTACTTTAATGTGTTGTTTCCGTCCGCCTGATAGGTAGACAACCAACATTTCATAACAAATGATATATTACCACAGACCTCACGGAAACAACAAAATCTTATTAGAAAAGCCGTGACAGATTTTCCAAAGCCAACTTAGTACGATATTTTATAATCAGCCTGACTAAAACGCCAAATTTGTAGAATCGTTTTTTGAAAAACAAAAAAATAATGAATCAATTTTCCGGAAAAATTTAGAACGTTCTGTATTATTAATACACGAAAGTTAATTGTTACAGCGTTATTGCTGGTCCACCCTGTACGTCTAGCTCAACCCCATTGTGATAAATGAATAACCTGATTTATGATGCACGATTATTGATTATTCATCACTCTGCTTCCGCAAAGAAGGTACAAGCTCGAACAAATCGCCCATTTAATTAATAAAACTTTCTTCGGGAAGAGCAGCCGCCACACTACCCCCCTCATTTCTCACACGCCAATTAATACAGTTGTTCCATTAATTAGCCACATTCACCATAATTTTTTGTTCCAAATTAAGCATTATCATCAGATTAGATTATGCCTCTGCATCCATCCCAATCCCTCTTGTCACACTCAGACTGTGCCGTCCCTCCAGAAGCACACACAACAACCGTCGTGAGCATCTCCTCCGTCACCTTCTATCGCCCCACGTCCCACATGCATCAGACCCCCTCTCAAGCGTGTGTCATACAGCTGGGAGGGTCGCCCAAAGCCTCGGCACAGCGATCAGTTGGACGAACGCTCTGTATGGTCGACGTTCAGTCGCGTCCGTCGTTCGCGGTTCGTGAGTGTGATTATTTGCAATCAAATCGGTCTTTTACGACGATGTGCCATATGGATCCCGTGGATTACGCTAGTGCTAGTGCTAAAAAGTGATTTTCAGACGGGATCTATTATGTCCAAGAACACGGTAACAATTGGGTTGCTTCGGAGTTAGAAAACTAACACGGTTTTTGAGTGTTATAACTACTGGTTTGCCTAAGCGGGCTTAGTTTTGGTGATTGATATTGGCGTCACCTCGAAACAACGCCAGCTTTTTATTTTATGTAACAGACCTTGATGGATAAAGACTGTAATTACAAAAAAGTTCTATTTGAAGTGGAACGTCAGGGGAATGCGGTGAGGTCGGATAAACAAAAAGTTGTTGAGTTGGGAGGCGAATATGCAAAAATATTTGCCAACATGTGACTTTTTTGGCAGGTTTTTCGATTTTCTAAAAATAAGTAAATTATTCGGGTTTTACAAAATAAATGGGCTAGTATTTTTTAAATTGGCGATAGAAAAGGGTCCAATTTTGTTATTTTTGTTATATAACATAGTTAATAAGATTGCGATGACGTCATCAATTTTTGGCGGGGACGAATAAATAAATTTTAATGGTCAGTTTTATAGCCGGGAACTAAGTACTTTGTCAAATTTTAGCAATTATAATTTTTCTTTGTTGTTTAAAATTGGCCTGGTTTTACTTTAATGCAACGGACCTTGAAAACTTCGGTAATTACGCGATATATAAGAATAAAATTCTTGGTCAAATCGACAAAGATCCGTAAAAATTTCTAAAATTGTTTTTTGGATAACAGATTGGTAAGAGGATGTGTTTACAAACATGCGACTGTGGACTTTGGCAGCCTTCGCACCAATTTCCAAAAATAATAACCAAATAGTGTAAATCATCTCATGTGATGGCTTGACAGGTTAATTTCTAAAAAAAATGCGTTGATAATTCTTTTTCGTGTTTTCTCGACGACTCGTAACCCCTAGAACGTGAAAAAGTAGGTCCCCCCATGAGGTTCAATAGTGAGCGTTTCTTAATAAATTTTGGGTTATTGTTACGTGGACTGTGATTGCGGTACCGCCCACATGAGCTCTGGGTTATATAAACAGTGGTATGGGGGCAGACGTGAAGTAGGCAATGCCCATAAAGTTTAGCAAGGTCGTCGATGACATTGTTCATCCATTTTGTTAAAACATTTAATTTGTTCGATCCATTATCCATAACAATAACGCTACCATGAAATTTTGGAACAACTATATCATTAAAAAAATCTCGAAAATTGTTTCTATTAGAAAATTGGTGTAGTAATGTAATTATCCCACTCGCTCGAGTGGGGTAAGTTAAATTTATCTCACTGTCGCTTTTGACGGCTTCTCACCGAATGTCATTACGTGTGACGTCACCCAAAATTTTGCTCTTTTTCATTTATTCGATTTTTCAATTTTTCGATTTTCCAACTTTGGAATTTTTCAGTTTTAAGGTTTTATTTTTCGATCTAAAATTTCTCTAGTTTTCAATTATTAATTTTCTAATTTTTCAATTCTTTAATTATTCATTTCTTCAAATTTCCGATTTTATAATTTTTTGTTTTTTCAATTTTTCGTTTTTTTAATTTTAGATTTTTCAATTTTTCATTTCTGCAATTTTTGATTTGCAATTTTTCTAGTTCCCATTTTAAATAATTATGTAAAAATTATAATTTTCCAAATTTTTACTACATATTTCAATTTTGCGATTTTAGGATTTTTCCTATTTTTAAATATTGGATTTTAAAACTTTTTCATTTATTCGATGTTTCAATTTTTAGGTTTTGAAATTTTTCTATTTCAAATTTCTGGAGTGTTCAATTTTTAATTTGCCAATTTTTCGATTCTTTAATTTATTCATTTCCCCAATTTTCGATTTGCAGTTTTTCTTTTCGTTTTTCCATTGTCTTTATTTTCAGTTTTTCGTTGCTTCAATATTCCGATTTTCTGATTTTTAATTTTTTCAATTTCAGTTTTTTTCAATTTTTCGTTGCGTTAATTTTATGATTTGCAATTTTTCTTTTGGGTTTTTTGTTTTCTTAATTTTTTCAATTTTTGGATTTCCCCAGTTTTCAATTTTTAAATTTCCAATTTTTGGATTCCTTAATTATTCGTTTGTTCAAATTTGCAATTTGCATTTTTCGTTTCGATTTTATGATTTTTTGTTTTTTCAATGTTTTATTTCTTCAATTTTACGATTTGCAGTTTTTCGTTTCGGTTTTTTATTTTCTTAATTTCTTAAATTTTTCGAGTTTTCAAGTTTCAATTTTTCAGTGTTTCGATTTTCCAACTTTTCAATGTTCCAGTTTTTAGATTTTGCAATTTTTCGATTTGCAATTTCACGCGCGTTCAATTTTTAATTTTCCGATTTTTCAGTTTTTAATTTCTTAAATGCTTTGATTTGCAGCTTCCCGTTTCGGTTTTTATTTTCTTAATTTTTTCCATTTTTCGGATTTTCAGTGTTCTGATTTCATAATTTTTCGGTTTCTCAATTTTTTTGATATAACAATTTTTCTAGTTTTCATTTTAAATATGTGAAAAAAAATAATTTTCAAAATGTTTGGTGCATACATATTACAATTTTACGATTTTAGATTTTCCCGGTTTTCAAATATTGGACTTTAAAACTTTTTCATTTATTGGCTTTTTAAATTTTTTTTTTTTTGTTTTAAAGTTAAAATGTTTCGATTGTTTAATTACTCATTTCTTTAAATTTTCCATTTCGTTTTTAGTTTCCGTTTTTATTTTCTTAATTTTTACAAATATTCGGTTTCTCAGTGTTCTGACTTCATCATTTTTCTTTTTCTCATGTGAAATTTTTCAACTTTTGGATTTTTCATTTTTTCGGTTTCTCAAATTTTAGATTTTTTAATTTCTCCATTTTTCAATTTTAGATTCTTTAGTTTTTCATTTCTGCAATTTTTGATTTGCAATTTTTTCTAGTTTTTATTTTAAATATGTTAAAATAATATTGAAAAATATTGGTTTTACATTTTTTTCGATTTTTCGATCTTTCAGTTTCATTTCTTCAATGTTTCGATTTGCAGCTTTTCGTTTCGGTTTTTATTTTATTAATTTTTTCCATTTTCGGTTTTTCACTGTTCTGGTTTATGGATTTTTTAATTTTTCGTTTTCTCAACTTTAAAATTTTTTATTTTTCGTCTTTTCAATTTTAAATTTTTTAGTTTTTCATTTCTGCAATTTTTGATTTAGCAATTTTTTCTAGTTTCAAAATGTTTCACTACACACATATTTCAATTTTACGATTTTAGATTTTCCCACTTTTCAAATATTGGCAATTAAAACTTTTTCATTTATTTGATTTTTCAATTTTTAGATTTTCCAACTTTGGAATTTTTCAATTTTAAGGTTTTAAATTTTTCGATCTAAAATTTCTCTAGTTTTCAATTATTGATTTTCTAATTTTTCAATTCTTTAATTATTCATTTCTTCAAATTTCCGATTTTATAATTTTTGTTTTTTCAATTTTTCGTTTTTTTAATTTTAGATTTTTCAATTTTTCATTTTTGTAATTTTTGATTTGCAATTTTTCTAGTGTTCCCATTTTAAATAATTATGTAAAAATTATAATTTTCCAAATTTTTACTACATATTTCAATTTTGCGATTTTAGGATTTTTCCTATTTTTCTAGTGTTCCCATTTTAAATAATTATGTAAAAATTATAATTTTCCAAATTTTTACTACATATTTCAATTTTGCGATTTTAGGATTTTTCCTATTTTTAAATATTGGATTTTAAAACTTTTTCATTTATTCGATGTTTCAATTTTTCGATATTCCAACTTTTTTTCAAATTTCTGGAGTGTTCAATTTTTAATTTGCCAATTTCTCGATTCTTTAATTTATTCATTTCCCAATTTTCGATTTGCAGTTTTTCTTTTCGTTTTTCCATTGTCTTTATTTTCAGTTTTTCGTTGCTTCAATTTTATGATTTGCAATTTTTCTTTTCGGTTTTTTATTTTCTTAATTTTTTCAATTTTTGGATTTCCCCAGTTTTCAATTTATAATTTTCCAATTTTTCGATTCATGAATTATTTATTTCGTTAATTTTTCGATAGGCATTTTTTCGTTTCGGTTTTTTATTTTCTTTATTTTTAAAATTTTTCGATTTTATAATTTTTTGTTTTTTCAATTTTTCGTTTCCTCAATTTTATTATTTGCAATGTTTCATTTCATTATACAGTATTTCGATTTTTAATTTTCTCAATTTTGAATCTTTCGATTTTTCAATTTTTCAAGTTCTTCATTTCCAATTTTTAGATTTTTTAATTTTACAATTTCGCAATTTTTATGTTTTTTCATTCGAAAAGTGGAAAAATCGCAAAAATCGAAAAACTCTAAAAACGAGAAATTGCAAAATCGAAAAAGTGGAAGATCGAAAAATTGAAGAAACGAAAAATTTAAACATTGAAAAACCAAAAATCGAGAAACTTTAAAATCCAAAAAAATTAAAGAACTGTAAAACTGGAAAGAAGAAAAAACCAATCGAATCGAAAAATTGGAAACAACCCAAAATTCGTCAAAACTGTAAAGTCGAAAAATTGTAACACTGAAAGATCGAAAAACTGAAAGATTAAATACCCAGAAATTGAAAAATTAAAAATCGAATAAATGGAAAAGCTTCAAAATCCAATAATTAAAAAATGGGAAAATTCTCAAATCGCAAAATTGAAATATGTACCTAGTGAAAAATTATTGAAAATTCTTATTTTTACATATTTAAAATGAAAACTAGAAAAATTGCAGAAATGAAAAATTTCACGTTGAAAAAAAAAATATGAATTCAGAAACATTGAAGGAATGAAAAATTGAAAAATCGGAAAATTGTAAAAACAAAGAAAATAAAAAGCCGAAACGAAAAACTGCAATTGACAATTTGAAGGAATGAATACTTAAAAATTAAAAACTCGAAATTTTAAATCCAAAAATTTAAAAATCAAAAACCTTAAAAATTCGAAAGTTATAAAATCGAAAAACTGAAAAACTTGAAAAGTCGAAAAATTGAAAGAATAAAGAAAATAAAAAACCGAAAATAATTAATGAATCGAAAAATTGGAAAATTATAAATTGAAAATGGGGAAATTTT